TAATCATTCGAAACGCTATCAGTTATCTCAACATAAATACCAAACTCACTTGAACAAATCAATAAATGTGCAGTCGGACATTCCAGCCGATGGATCTTCGAAAACAGGTTTTTGAGATCAGGGAAGCAGCAGACACCGAGATCTGTTTATCTCGACTCATAACTTCTCTGATGTCACAAGATTAAAAAAAAACTTCACAAAATCCAATGAAATCTTTCCTCATCCATCCACGCTTGACCGACTCCAGCTGTTTCGTAGGCTGCGTGTATCGATTGCTGGTGGTCCAGCAAGCCGAATCCCAATTCTCAGGTCTCGGCCAGAGAAACGTCTGCATCCCGATTCAAAACATTTCTACGACACGCCGACACACGTCACAAAACGAGAAAACCTTAAGACGCCAGTCTTCTGGGTTGTCGCGCCATGTAGTCTGGTACACGTTTTTCAGTGTTTCAGAGGTGCTTTCTGCCTCCACCATCAGGGCTAAAATCGAGGCCTTGAATACATTTAATTACTCAGTCGTGAGGATTACGAGTCGGACCAGGACTTTCTGGTGGACTCAGTCGTGAGGATGACGAGTCGGACCAGGACTTTCTGGTGGAACACCTTGTGTCTTAGGCTTTACTTAACGTACAGTGCCATTGCTTGCTGCAAAGTAATCACTCTTCCTGACTGTCCACTATGTGACAGCGCTGTATTGAGCAATCAATCAGCTGTTGGGTGACCAGTGACTATCGTCTTGTATCGATTCAAACTCAACAAAAATCCTTCGACGAAATCTGATATTCCTTCTACGTCTGGTCAGGAATCATTCAATATCGTGATTGAAGTCCAGTTCCTTTAAGAATCTAACTTCAAATCCTCATGCGCTGTAAACTTAACGCTTATTAAAGGTCATGCATTGACTTATAGACGGGTTTATAATTCCTGTTCCATCTCTATAAAGTGTTGAACAGTTAACGCCGTAGTACGTTGACGGATTTGAGTTTGTAATGCAGGACAACTCTGTCGGAGTTAAATTAATTCACGGCCACATACGAGTTTCAGTTTTAATGTCAATGTTAAACCTCACGCAATGATGATACAGTAGAACGTCAATTCTTGTAGAGGAGAATAAAAGAAATTAGGAGAGCGCACAAAACAAATCTCCATTTGCAGGGTAAAATACGAAAGACAAATGTTATCATTACAATGATAGAAATTCCCTTGTCTTTATTAAAATGAGGGCAGTTGCTCAACTGATCAAAACATTTACTTGGGTTTATTTAACCCAAAGATTCATTACCGTATTCACAAAAACCCCAGTATTGGACCTTATCCTGGGCAAGTCGAGTCCAGCTTAATTACTCGCGCCATATTTCTGTACTATCAGTTTTAATACAACCCTTCAATGAACACCGAGGTCTTTCCCTTCAAACTTTCCGTCAGCAGTTTCGTTTGCATCTCATTCTCTCTGATTTAATCACCACGGAGCTGCTCATTATACGTTGTTACAGCCCCTTTCATGGGTCCAAATGTTCCTCTTTTCCCCTAACGTGAGAGACGAAATTTGGTACTCAACGGCAGGCAAACTTACAGCTTTGTAAATTTTGATCTTCAGACAATAACAAACACTTCGCACGTACGAGGTGCGATCGCAAAGTTTCAAGACTGCACGTATAAAAACCCGTACACTTATCTCAGGTATTAAATTCATCCATCACCCTCGAAGTAGTTCCCCTGGGAGTGAACACAACTATCCCAGCACCGCTGCCAAGCCTGGAAGCATCCCTGGAAATCTTTCTTTGTCAGCCTTTTAAAACGTGAATGCCACACAAAAGTTTGTGCACGACCCATTGCGGACTCCCCAAATGCTTGCTTTAGCATTTCATAGGTTTCCGTAGCCGTTTTGGCGAGTCTTTGGCAAGAGATTCAGGCAGAATCGCAGATGGTGCTTGACAGGCTGACAAAGAAAGATTTCCAGGGATGCTTCCAGGCTTGGCAGCGGCGCTGGGATCGTTGTGTTCACTCCCAGGGGAACTACTTCGACGGTGATGGATGAATTTAATACCTGAGATAAGTGTACGGGTTTTTATACGCGCAGTCTTGAAACTTTCCGATCGCACCTCGTATATAAGAAATGAGAAATCCGAACTTTTTTATAGGTTTTCAGCGCAACGATGTGAGGTATTGTGGACTTTATGTAGGTCGTCACTCAAAAACACTGCTACTACACGTCTGAGCTGGCACTTTTATTTCTATTGGAAAACATTTTGCAATCTGAACATGTTTCAGAATACAATGCTCTCGATGTATTCATGATCTGCATACAACTCGTTTATTTTCCGTCATTGAAACGAGCATAAACTATGCGATAAATTTTTTTTTTTAAAGTCTAAAATAAATATCCGGTCGCTGTCAAAAATATACATGATTTTCAGATGCCAGATAATTCCTCTTGGTTTCTTCTATTACTCAGTGTTATTAATACCACTGAACGTAAAATTGAACAACAACAGGTTTTAAAATTCAGCTTCTCACTTAAAAATACTTAAAAACGCAGTTCCTAACCAAAAGAAACACTTCGTCCCCATTATAAAAGTCAAAATCGTGGGTGAGATCTGACATTCTCAGTGCTGAGCATTACGAAGTTGTTGTTATCGGTCGTGACGCCGTGTAGACTCGTGGGTAGAAATTCAAAATTCGAAGAAACACACTGCCCCCCAAAAACGAGAAGGGGGAAAACACAAGGCAACGGATTCTCAAGGTCTGAGATATGAAAATTTGGAATGTGGTCTTGTTTGTTACAACGCACATCAGAGTGCGTGGCGTCACAACCCAAAAGACCACAATCCAATTTCTGCCATCTGTTTACGATCATAAAACAGTCGTGATTTCAAAGCCCAAATCGAATGCACACAACTCGTCAAATCAGTGAGAGTTCGCCGATTTCAGCTTTCAATAAAACTGAACATCGTGTCTGTGAAAGTCCGTCTTCCAATCAAAGCGAGTAGGGAGGTGGTGCATTGATTGCTTTATGGTCGGTTGGAAGCCAATTACAAACATCTAAACAAGAAATGCATTCATGTGACTTGAACTGTGCAGCGGTCAGTCGAAAGTACGACATATAATAGAGGGGGTGGGAAAATAAACGAAATATAAGCACGTGCTAAATACTACATATTTATGAAAATCACAGTTAATGAAGACGGAAACATATAGGCTTACTGTACTAGGAAGAAGACAGATTGTGGAACATCACCCT